CTGAGGAGAGTGGGGGGTCTGAGTGGGGTCAGAGTTGGATTGGGGGAGGGGCTGTGGGCTGAATGGTGTGGTGGAGGCCCATTGAGGGCAGGGGTTGCCAGGGGAGGGGCTGCAGGAGGTTGGCTGGCTGGCCACACCCCCTATTGGGGTGATCAGGGGCAGGGCCGGCTGGGGGGCCACAGGTGGTTGGCCAACTGGCCCTGCCCCTGACTGGGGTTGGGGGCTGATCTGGGGTGGGGCCAGGTGGGGGTAGGGCTGCAGGAGGTTGGCCCCACTCCTGATTGGGCTGGTTCACTGGCCATAGTGGGCGTCATAGCAACTGGTTGTTCCAGTCATTACAGTGTTCAGTCACTGGCTTTTTATATATATAGGTACTTAAAAAGATGCAGAGAGTCAGTAGTATGGCCGAATCACTCATCACCAGCACTTCCAGCAGGATTTGCAGGCGCTGGAGGTGAACAGCATCTTGGGAAAACGCCTGTCATTGTCATTCCTCTGCTCTTAATATGCCTTCCCTTCTCAGACTTCTCTCCCAGCCAGTACATCTGTCATATTCCTTCTCAGTAGTAAATTACCTCTATTCCATAATATTTGTGAGATTTGCAAATGATAACCCCTGACAGAGTCATTTTCTATTTGCCCATTACAGTCCACAACTCCCTGCTAAAATGTGGAGGACTGGCCTGCAGAAATCTTACACAGGGACATTATGATCCAGAACAGCACATTGTCCCCACTCTCTACACATTACAGCCAATCGGGATTCCATTATTAGAGCTGATGATTTTTAAAATCAGTGGTTACTAAAAATACCATTTAGGAATTTGTGCGTTAGATATATCTGACTAGAGTTCAAAATAAATGCTCTACTTTAGAAATCAATGGTCTTAAAAATAATATGTATACTTATTAGCATTATTGCCTATAAATTCAGTTATATCACATTTTTAAGCAAATGTATAAAATCAGAGGACTCAATATAGCTTCATATCCAATAAAAATCAGAGGTGGATGGCTAATATTCAGAATTTCCAAATAAAATATATTATTAATATTACAGAAAATTACAACTTATTCTTTTCAAATGACACAGAAGACCTAAAAGCTCTTGTGAATATTTATGGTTTTATAGATGAAAGAGAAAAAAATAGAAGACAGCATATGTTAAAGGCTGCTTTTAACAATAAATCTCTGCTCTCAGTTAATATTAACAAGTTGGCTTGAAATGCATTTCTCCCATAAAGAAGACTACTGAGTAGTGCAAAGTTAGTTGGTTAAGAATTTTTGTGTTCCAGAGTCAGAATATATATCTATATA